CAATGCATTTTAGAGCAGCAAAACCATCTGTGAGATACTGTGATGTGGGCTGTTGTGCTTGAACTTAACGCAAATGGTGGAATCAAGGTGAAATGGCGTTTGAATGTAGCCGTGCCAGCCACTGTGACAGGTACAACACCGTGTGTGGGAATGTACACAATGGCAGACGCCATGCATGGGAGGTGGACAGGAGTATATGGGAACTCTGTCATTTCCACTCAACTTTCCTGTGAACTTACGATTACCATGAGAAATGCAGTTCATCAACAGAAAGAAAGAAGCAGGGCAGAGGAGGCTGATTGGGTGAGAAAATGAGACACACAAAGCTCAAAGGGGGAAGGATGTGCTGCAGGAAGGCTATGGGGAGCTTGAGAGAAAGGTCTTAGGCACCTTGGGACCTTAGCAAGGGAGCTGTATGGGAGCAGAGTGTGGCGGTGAAAGTTAGGGACAGAGGATTGAGAGACAGAGATGCTGATACCGTAGAGTTGGCATCAAGCATTTGGTCCTGAGACCCCAAGTCAGAGCAGTGAACGGGAGGAAAGATATCCCATGTGGCTACTAGCAAGCCTGTCAGGAGAGGGGAAACCTTGGAGAAAGTTCTGGATTTTGGATAGCAGTAGAGTAAATTAGCCTAAAATAGAGTGGTTCCAAGGATCAGGGCTATGGATGCATTCATCAGTTCCCAACACATTTTTATCAGGCATCACCAAGAAAAGTCTCTGCCTTGTCCCCAGTGGGGAAAGGCGAGAAGACGCCATTCTTGGTGGTCATGGGAACAGTGTTGAATTTCAGGTAGAAACCACACCAGCATGGGGATTTTCTTCAGATGTTTGAAGATAGGAAACTTGTATTTTTATTTAGAAAGGAAGAGAAAATCTTATAAGAAATGTCTACTGGGGCAAACCCACTGTTGTGGCAATGTAACAAGAGCTGAAGTCATAGCCACCAAAAGCTAGTATTAAAGGGTAAGGTCATAAGGGCATGATGGAAAAACTACCACAGGAAGCAAACTGACAGAGAAATGGGAGAAGCCCAGGATGGATTGATTGGACTTGAAGTTGAGTGGACAATAGAGGTGTGTGGGCCCCATCCAGACAAGAGGAGCACACCACTCACTGTCTCATGTAGTGCTAGCTGGCCTTGGGTTCTCTTGGGCTCTCTCTTTGACCAACAAATGCCTGCTAAGAACCAACCAAGTTGAAGTCTGCAGAGAGGTGGGAGAAGAGATGACAACAGACACTTCTGCATCTCAAAGGACTGTGGGGAACGAGAGTACAGAGAACAGGTGAGCAGAGGAGCAGACTAAAGAAAGCTGAGGCTGGAAGCTCTTAGGAGGAAAGAGCAGAGTAAGCATGGCATTGCATAGAGCTCTTCTGTTTCTTTGCTCACCATGGCAATAGGCAGTTAGGGAACCCATGAGAAGAATGAGAGAAATACCTCACAGTGGTTTGAGCCATACTGTGACTTAGAGTGAATAAGTCCAATTTTCTCATTGCTGGAACTCTACCTAAGGATTGACCACACAGCTGCTTGATTCATTTTCTCCAGGGTGGCGGTGGTGACAGTGTGTGAACAAGGACTCATCTTGTTGATGTCAGCTGTAAAAAGCCTATCCTCTAAAGTGTTAGCAGATTCCTTAATAACCTAGAACAAATATATACAAATGTATCCAAATATTGTTTATCCTGAATCTCTGTCAGCATTTCTGCTTGGGCTTAGCTGTGACCTTATATTTGTACATGTTTCAAGGTGTACCATTTAGCTTCGCTATGCTGGCATTAGGTAAAAATCTGGTCATTTATAGCAGTAGTGAAAGTTGGGCTTATGGTCCAGCCAGCTTTCATGGGCAAGTGCAGGGTGTGTCCAGGAAACAGATGGTCAAACCAGGAATCAGGGGCTATCTAAAATCACAGTTCAGATTTGAGGACAAAGGGTACATGAGACCCTGGGCAAGTCTTTCTTCCTTTAACTCTAGACTGTGGCTTCCTCTTGCCCACAGCAATGGGTGTTTTTTCAAGGGAATTAGAGTTCATTTCCTTTGGCTTTTGGTACTGTCTACTGTTTGCATTAGGTTGTATGTTGCTTGATTTGAAATCAAATAAATAATGTAGAAGTATACATTTTTTTAAAAAAGTAATTCCAAGGCCCTGCATAATTCACCTAGGGCCAGGCTGGGTAAGATTTGACTTTCCATTGGTATGGGGAACAAAAGGAATTCATCCCATCTTTCGAATGGTAGTAGAGTAAATTAGCCTAACATAGAGTGGTTCCGAGGGTAAGGGCTACCAATGCATTCATCTGCTCCCAACCCAGTTGTATCAGGCATCTCTTCTGCTCTAAACTCTGTTTGGAGTACCAAGAGGAGAATGGATCGGCAGAGTGCAGAATTAGGAAGAGCATGGGGCATGCCTTTCAACTTGTGTAAAATGAAGTGATGGTTGGAAAACGGTGTTTTTGTCATCCCAAACATAACACACACCCTCATGCTGGTTTGTTCACTAAAAATAGCATATGGTCTTTGTATACTCCCCCCTGAACCCCTGTAGAGAAAGTAACATCACAGAACAAAGAGAGTCTAGTGGTTTTCCTTACCTGCTAAGACTTTAGAATAAAATATCTGGTTTTAGTTTAATATTACTGATTTTGGTTAGAAGATAGAATTCTGATTTTCAGTGACAAATAATTAAAAACTTGCATTCTCATTGAATGTTACAATCACAAATTAAACTAAGCCAGATTCCCAGGCATTTTGCTCCTCAGGAAAAGTTTTTAAATGATCATTTTACAAGCCAGCAACAAGGCTGGAGGAATGGCTAAGCACCTGCTACTTGATCATAAAGACTGGAGTTTCCAGCACCTGTATCAAGCAGGTTACCAAAGCCTATAGCTCCAGCTCCAAGGGATCTGACACCCTCTTCTGGCCTCTGTGAGCACATACCCTCACACAGACATAGGCACACACATAAATAAATTTAAATAAATTAAAAGCTAACTGCACAATGTATACCATGCTATCTTTCCTGCTCCTGGACTGAAGTGCTCTCCCTGTGCATGGCCGCCCAGAAACTCTGCCATACACATGCCTTTGATCTAATAGGCTTTCCCCTAACATAGACTCTAGACTGAGTTTTCCAAAGCACTTTGTCACACCTGTGACTCCATGAAGCTTTATTTTTTTGGGGGGGGGTGGTCCTTGTCCTTCACTTGGCTTTCTCACGCTCACTCTTTGTGGCTTCGGGGGGTGGTCCTTGTCCTTCACTTGGCTTTCTCACGCTCACTCTTTGTGATAGTGCCTTAAGATTTTACTTAAAAAGGAGACACCTCATTCAGTACATAGGCCTGTAATCTGAGCTAACAAGGATGCTGAAGAAGGAACATTGCCAGTTCAAAGCCAGTACGGGCAACTTAGTAAGATCCTGTTTCAAAATAAAAGTAAAAAGAG